ATGGCTGTGAAAGTTGGACCATAAGAAAGGCTGAGCATCAAAGAATGGAGGCCTTTGAACTATGGTGCTGGAGAAGACTCCTGCGATTCCCCTGGACTGCAAGGTGATCAAACTGGTCAGTCCTGGAGGAGATCAACCCTGACTGCTCCTTAGAAGGCCAGATCCTGAAGTTGAAACTCAAAGTACTTTGGCCACCTAATGAGAAGGAAGGACTCACTGGAGAAGAGCCTGATCCTGGGAAAGATTAAGGGCAACAGAAGAAGGGGACGACAGAGAATGAGGTGGCTGGATGGAGTCACTGAAGCAGTAGGCGTGAGCTTAAATGGGCTCCAGAAAATGGTAGAAGACAGGAAGGCCTGGAGGAACGTTGTCCATGAGGTCGCGATGGGTCGGACATGACTAACAACAACAAGAAGCTCCAGATAACGTTGTTCTCGCTGGAACCCACCTGGAGAACTGGCTCTCATTCTAGGACCTTTGCAATTAACAAGGATGTAGATAATGTGGGTTAGATCCAGAAGAAGGCAGTAGAGATGGATGGGGGTGGGGAAAACAGGCTTCCTGACAGAACTGGGTCAGAGGAGATGGGAAGGCTGGCAAAAATTTGCTTGAAACACTCGGCGGTCTCTGTGGGAAATGAAAACAAGGATAGTTGGCTTGGATTTGTCCACAGGGGCCCCAGAGATCACAGCTAGGTCTAACCGGCTGAATTGGTCAAGGTGGAGGTCAGTTGACTGCTAGGAGCCTGTGACTTGTAGTTTGAATTTATTGTCGAATTAGGTTTTAATTCAGCTGCTTTCTTACATTTTCTAATATTTTGATGTCATTTCAATTGCGTTTTTATATGTTTGGTAGCCATCTGGAGTTGCTATGACAAGATGGGCAGCCCTATAAATTAAATAAACAAATACTGTAAATACAGACACACTGGTTCCGCATCTGGGGGCATTCACAACTCAACTATGGGGAGCACGACGGGACTGACACCTTTTGGGCAGCCTTTTCCATACAGACTTGACCAGGCCACGTGAGGACCCATCTTGATTAGTTTTAACCCTGGTATTCTTGGGGGCAGCCCTGGCCTGTTCCCTGAAGCTCCAGTGCAGAATATTCCGGCTGGGATGCCTCTCGGTGCAGGATCGCCCGATCTCTCCCAGACTGGAAGGGCCCCAAACGGGCCACTGTGGAGCCTCCTGCATTGATTGTTTCCACCTAGAAAGCAGCCTTGTCACTAGGCCTGTTGCCTTGCCTGCAGTTATGGGGAGGGGGGGCTCCTTTGTGACAATTCTCTCTCTGACGGCAGGGGCTGCACGAAGACCACAGGCCCTGTCTAATCAGCGGGAATTGGATGGTGCCTTTCTGCAGGCCCTGAGGCGACTCCAGGCGACTCCTTGCACATGCATTTATTAAACAGATTTATACTGCCGCCGAACTCATGGATTCCAGGCAGCGCTTAACATTAAAAATCCAGTTTCAAACTCCAGCCCCACCCCCGCAGCAGTGGCAACGCGGTCAGAGAAGCCCCTTGATTGGCTCCGAGTGGCTCCGCCCCTTTCCCAAAAGTCGCTTCTCACCTCAGCCGCGGCGGCTTCTGCTTGACTCTCCGAGTATCTCGTGTGAAGCCGTTCCCTCCGTGTGGAGTGGGACAACTCGTCGCAGGACAACTCACCATGGGACAGTTTAACAATTCAGTTTAATTATTTTAATTTTTGCCATTCACATTTCATTCTGCCCCTCCTTTTGCATCCTTTTTTTAACGATCCCACCATTTCTTTGATATTAGTGTAACTCTTGTCCTGCAGTGAATTGACTGTGGTGAGTTGGCCGAGACGAATCGAAATAGACCCCTCCCAGTGAGCCGAGTGAGGTTTCTGTTGTTTAGTTGGCTCACCTGGAATAGACCATTATTGGCCTAGCACTGAAGGCACCAGACCAGAGGTTGTGAATTCTAGTCCCACCAGCTGAGGGGCTCTGAGCCAGCCACTCTCCCTCAGCCCTGGGAAGCAGGCAAGGGCAGCCCCTTCTGAAAATGGTGCCAAGAGGGCCGAGGGACCAGTCCAGGCAGCCCCAGGAGTCGAGACTCGGAGAGACCCAAACCCTGGCAAAGAGCCCGGCTGGGGAGACCTTCGGCGAAGGAGGGCTTTGCAGCCGCTGAGCCTTCGGTGATGCCAGTGAAGAAATGCTGGCGGGCTCCTTGCTCCCTCCTCTTCTTGGATGGGAGGCTGAATGCAGATGGGCAGAGGTTCCTACCTACCCTCAGAATTTTACTTGTTTATATGTATTGATCTGATTTCTGCCCATCTCAGTCAGTGGCTCTGGCCGATGTCCATACGAAGGTGCTCCTCTGACATCTTTTGCTGCTTATTACTAGCCTTTTTATAATGGCTTCCTGAGGTTAGGGTTAGGGTTGGTTTCATTAAAATGGGAAAAGACATTTTGTCAAAACCATCGACAGCTATTTTTCTCTCCCTGGATTCCCACAGGGCTTTTTTTTTTTTTTACTGATTGTGCAGTGGCCCCATCAGAGCAGGGGGCAAAAGGCAGCCAGGCAGAGGGGACTCACCCTGAGCTGCCATTCCAGGTGGAGACGGACACCCCCCACCCGCCCAGCTCCCTCGAGCAGCCAAGATGGCTGAAAGGAAAGATGCAGATCAGCCCCCCCCTCCGCCCAACCTTCTTGGCTTCTTGGCTTCTGAGGATCCTTGGCCATCTTTGAGACTCCAGGACAGGCAGTTGACTAGTCAACAAGGAGAGCATCCATGTGGCTGGGCAAGTGTCCTTCTTGCCATGCAGTCCAGCCCCGGCTCTTGTGTGGCTCACCAGGGAAGGTTGGGAAATGGCCGTCCAGCCTCTGCGGGAAGTCTTCCAGTGGAGAGGAGCAGCAGGCGTCCAAATGCGTTTCTTCCAGGGCTTCCTGATTTAGAGCAGGGGTGTCAAACTCAATTTCATTGAGGGCCGCATCAGCATTGCAGTTGCCCACAGGGGGCCAGGTGGGTGTGGCCAGGGGGGGTGCAGTCTACTGGGTGGGCGTGGATGGAGTGGGTATGGCCTACTGGGTGGGCGTGGATGGAGTGGGTGTGGCCTACTGGGTGGGCGTGGATGGAGTGGGTGTGGCCTACTGGGTGGGCGTGGCCAGCTCTACATCGTTCGCGTCAAGGGTGCCTGTGGGGGCCTGGGCAGGAGTGGGGCAAATCTGAGGGTCTCTGGCAGAAGGGGGGGGACCAGGGCAAGTGCCAAGGCATGGTCCACTGGAGGAGCCTCACTGTTCCTCTCAGGCCATGCGAGGGGGGGGAATGGTGGTGCGGGCTGCCGGGAGCCCTGGGCAGCAGAGGTCAAATGCCCAGCCTGGCCCTCGAGCACCCGCAGCACCAAGCCCAGCCCCACTTCCCCAAGGGGGCGCCCAGATCACTTGCCTCCTCCTCAAGGCTGCTGCTGCTGTGCTTGCTCTCCTTAGCCAGGTTGCTCATGNTGGGGACCCCCAGGATAGGCCAGGAGGAGGGGGCAAGGGGATGGTGAAAGGGCAGCAGGGCAGGACTAAGGCAGGACTTCCCTCAGACCCTCCCTCTCCTTTCCTTCCTTCCTTCCTAAGAACAGAGTGGTGGGAAAATATTTGGGATGAGGGAGGGAGAAAAACAGGCAAGAAATGCAGCTGGGGAGGTGTCACCCTTTGTGAGGAATGAAGAAATGCACCATCGCCTGGAAGTGGCCAGCACATGGCCCTCGCCTACTTCACATATCTGGCTTGGTGGGCTCTGGGGGAGGGGATGCCATGAGCAGCATGAAAGTCAACGTTACCTGCACAATGCTGTCCAGCCCCCAGCCTGCCCGGTCTCGGCAGGCAGAGGGGCGCTCTCCTCACAGCGCCGAGAGGTTGAACCAGGAAGTGCGAAGCTCGCCACCTTTGCACCTTGCTGCCTGATGAAACTGGGCAGACTGGGGGCTAGGCAGCATTGCATTTCTCATCAGTTTCGCGCCACCCAGCTCAGCCTCTCGGCGCTGTGAGGAGAGCGCCCCGCTGCCTGCCGAAACCCCTCCCCCAGAGCCCATCAAGCCGGATATGTGAAGTAGGCGAGGGCCATTTGCTGGCCACTTCCAGGCGATGGTGCATTTCCTCATTCCTCACAAAGGGTGACACCTCAGGGGGCAGGGCCGACGCGGCAGGGGCTGGTTCCTCGCTGTTTCCAGACGGCCTTGTGGAGCTAAGACTGAATGCGTTTCAGCGTAGATGGCCACCACAAAATTGTACATTGGCTTCCGGCCGGCCTGGGCCAGGGCCAAAGCAGAGGGGGCCGTTCCCTCACTGTTTCCAGGATGGCTTCGCGGGCCACATGAAACCACTTTGTGGGCCACATCCGGCCCCCAGGCCTTGTGTTTGACATGTCTGACTTAGAGGTTTCATTTTTATCAGTAGACATTGCCACCATCTTGCTTTCAGCTGCTTAGTAAAGTTGTCAGTTAGAGGTACCAAATGAGGAATAAAGAGAATGGAAAAATCTGTCAGAACATTTTATGTACGTTAAATGGATAAACTCAGGAAAAACTTTGTTTCCTTAAATGGAATTTTTTTTTCCATAAAAGCAGCTGCAAACTGAAGGGCCTCTTCATTATATTGGCTGACCTGCACAGGGTGCTCCTCTCTGAAACTGATCCACTCTCCTTCCTTCCTTCCTTCCTTCCTTCCTTCCTTCCTTCCTTCCTTCCTTCCTTCCTTCCTTCCTTCCTTCCTTCCTTCCTTCCTTCCTTTGAAATAAAGCCACTTTGCTGCTTCTGGTTAGTATTGGGCTGTGTGGTGGATTAAACCTAAAGGCTGGTTGCCAAGAGGTACAGTCAGGGGAACAGGCTGCCACATGAAGTGGTGCGCTCTCCTTCAAGGAGAGGCTGAAGGGTCATCTATTGAAGGTGTTAAGCGGGGGGCTTAACTAAATGATCTCAAGGATTCCTTTCGCCTCTGTGATTCTGGGAATCTGTAGTCCTGATGTTGGCTTATCTCTCTCTTTCAGCTGAGCCTGCAGATCTATTGAAGGTATTAGATTTCCATAATTTACCCGACGGCATCTCAAAAACGACAGGATTCTGCACCAGCAGGCGGTCTTCCAAGGGAGCAGATGTGGCCTATCACGTGACCAAGGATGCCCAGCTGAGTGCCCCAACCAAGCAGCTTTTCCCTGGTAAGAGGATAGTTGTGGCTCAGGGTGCAACTGTGGGGCCCTCGGTGCTCTCTGGGCTGGGTCGTTGGCTTGCAGACGTTCATTACCCAACTAGGGAACATCTCCAGTGCCAGCGACACCACTCCTGTTTCCCAGAAAGGATGGCACCTTTCCCCTTCCTTGGATGCCCGTGGCCTGCTGACAGCCAGCCTGCGGCGCTTGACGGAGCCTGGCGCTTCCGCTCTTTCCTCTCCTGATTGGCCCAGGTGGATTCAGGTCCTGCTTGGCTGCGACGCAGAGACCCTCCCAGCTGGACTTGCGGCAGACGAGGCAGATGCTCGCTTTCTGAGCAAAGCCACAGCAGGACTATCTTCAGCCAGGGCAGCGCCTTGCTTGGGGTGGGCCTGGAAGACCTCTTGCCAAAAGCCTGAGGAATGTGGAGAGAAGCAGCGGGTTGCTTTGATCCGACAGCCAAGATGCCGGGCATTTTCTCAACATCATCTGGGGCTTGGCTCTGGCCAAGAAAAGGGGCCTGGGAATTGTGGGCAGGCGCAGAAGGGATTGGTGTGCAAAACTGCACACACACACCCCCAAAGAAGGGCACAGCTTAGCTCTCAGAGGCAGCCTGGCCTTTGCTGCGCTTCCCACTCCTTTTGTTTAATAACACCCCTCCTCTGAGTAACTAGACGTTAGTTAGGCTCCAAACAAGCAAATGAGTGGATGGCAGAGATAAAGACAACAGAGGTAATTGCAGAGCATGTCCAAAAGGAAATGCAGATTGGGGATTTGACATTAAAAGGGTCTTGAGGGAAGATGCAGTGACACGTAGCTACACAAAAGACTCTCCAGCTCCGGGCAGGCTGTAGTTGGGGCTAATTGGTAGTTTGCTTTCCTCAGCTGGTAGTTTGAGGATCTTGGTGTGTCGCTGCTCTCGCCACTGCCAGCTGTGCAAATCATCCAGTTGTTTGACCTGGAATGCTACGACCCACACCCTTCCTGGCGGGGGAGATTCCTCGGAGATCCTAAAGGATCCTAAGTCCAAATGGAGCTGTGCTGTGTGTGTTTCTGTGTGGACATGGAAGCATTTCCCAGTTTGGGATATCATTAATCATACTAGCACTAGCAATAGCACTTAGACTTATATACCACTTCCTGTGCTTTACCGCAGGGGTCCCCAATCCCTGGGCCGTGGCCTATTCAGAACCGGGCCACTTGAGCAGTGGGCTGGTGTGTATGCACTCATGTGCAGCTTGACTTGCATGAGTAGTGGGCTGGTGTGCATGTACACAGGTTTGCAGCTTGACTTTTGCAAGTCGAGCTGCGTAGGCATGCATGTGCATGCTGGCCCGCTGCTCGTGCTGCCCGGTTCCCCTCTCATCTCCCCCCCTCAGCCAGGCTGCCGAGCTGCAAAGGTTGGGGACCGCTACTTTACTGCCCTCTCTGAGCGGTATAAAGAGTCGGCCTACTGCCCCTCCCAACAATCCGGGCCCTCATTTTACCTACCTCAGGAGGATGGAAGGCTGAGTCAGCCTGGAGCTGGTCAAGATTGAACTGCTGGCAGTCGACAGAGTCAGCCTGCAAAACTGCACTCTAACCACCATGCCACCACAGCTACTAATACAGGTAGTCCTCAGCTTATGACCACAATCAGGACGGGAACTTCCATCAGGAAGTGATGCAGTTAAGTGGGTCACACCCAATTTTATGACCTTTATGCCATGGTCATTAAGTGAATCTGGCTCCCCATTTGGCTTTGCTGGTCAGAAGCTGGCCAGGAAGGTGGCGGAGGGTGATCACGCCCCCCCCCGATATGGCGACTTCCATCAAAACAGGCCAGCTGCCGAATTCTGACCCCGTGACCGCAAGAACGCTGCTGCAGGGGCTGCCAGTGGCAGGACTGGCCGCAAGTCACTATTTCCAGCACTGTCGTTAAACAAATGGTCATAAGGCGAGGCCTGCCTGTAGCTAAAGTCTCAAAGCAGACTTTCCTCGTTCAGCTGGCTTTTCCAACCCAGCCCTGCCATGGTGGCTGCAGAGCCGATGCTGGTGGTTCCCTGGGGAGAGAAATTGATCCCGCCCTCCACTCTGCTCCCTTTTCTGCTTCCAGTGTCTCCGTTTCCCGAGGATTTCTCAATCCTGACCACGGTGAAGGCCAAGAAGGGCGGCCAGTCTTTCCTGATCTCCATTTACAACGAGCAAGGCATCCAGCAGGTCGGGGTGGAGCTGGGGCGGTCCCCGGTTTTCCTGTATGAGGACCACATGGAGAAGCCGGGCCCCGAGAACTACCCTCTCTTCCGGGGCATCAACCTCTCGGATGGCAAGTGAGTGAGGGGAGGAAAGGGGGCTTGGTGGAGGGCCAGGCGGAGGAACTCCAGCTCCCCTTCCTTTGGGTGGTGGACGGGACTCCTTCGGGAGATGATCGGGTCAGGAATGTTCAGGTTGTTCTGAAGCTCCAGAAACGGCTCTCCAAAAGTGGCCCAATGGGAGCCGCCCCCCCCCGAGGGGGAAAGAGAAGAGGGGGTCATAAAACGTCAGAGACAAGCATGTGAGGCCCCAGATAAACAAGCAAGATGGTGGCTCATATGGCAGCCTACTTTGTCCGATGGGGTAAGACAGTGGTTGAGTTCCCACCATATGTTGAATCCACGGTCAAGTTAGAGTTTGCAAACACAAATCAACACACACACACAACCCCCCCCCCCGATGACTCTGGTTCTTTGTGTGTATGCGTGACCCCTCCCATCAAGAGCCGAACTTGTCACTTCTCTGCATCCAGCTGCAGCCTTGGGGGAAGGCGGCCTGGCAGTGGATAATAATAATAATAATAATAATAATAATAATAATAATAATAATAATAATAATGATGATGATGATAATGATGGTAAAGTTGGAAGGGACCTCGGAGGTCATCTAGTCCAACCCCCTGGTCAGGCAGGAAACCCTATACCATTTCGGACAAATGGCTGTCCAGTCTCTTCTTAAAAACTTCCAGTGTTGGAGCATTCGCCGCTTCTGGAGGCAGGTTGTTCCACTGGTTAATTGTTCTCACTGTCAGGAAGTTTCTCCTTCATTCTAGGTTGCTTCTCTCCTTGATTAGTTTCCACCCGTTGCTTCTCGTCCTGCCTTCGGGCTCTTTGGAGAATAGCTTGACTCCCTCTTCTTTGGGGCAGCCCCTGAGATACTGGAATGCTGCTATCCTGTCCCCCCTCGTCCTTCTCTTCATTAAACTAGACATTCCCAATTCCAGCAGCCGTTCCTTATATGTTTTAGCCTCCAGTCCGAGGAGTGAAAGCTGGACTGGACTGCCCTCTCTCTGGGGCGATTCAGTTTGGCTTCTCCAGGGGCCTCTCGTAGCTCCAGAAGGCTCTGATCAGGAGATCTGCCTGGGAAAAGGCTGGCTCTCCGTCTTCCCCTCTCCAAGCCATGGCAGAGGAAAGGGAATCCTGGGTCTGTCCAGGGCAGGTTTTCTTTAAGTCAGAAGATTTCGTTTCTGCCAAATGGGGCTGAAAGTGCTGTGGGGACTGTCATCATCACTCCTTTGGCTGCTCATAAACTTTCAGATCCATCGACAGTCTTGGGCTCTAGAAACTTGCTAAAATAATCCAATCCGCACCAAGCAGAGATGCCCAGGCACACGCTCTTTGCCTAGTTGACATGATTTGACTTTGGTTTTTTTGCTTTCCCCTTTTTAGAAAACTTACTACTTGCTATATAGCTGTTTATTCATTTTGCATTTTTCCTGGAAAATACTCTGTGTCTGATTTGACGAGGTATTTATGGCCTCTAATTCACGAAACAAAGAGCAAAGACAGTTACATATAAAAATGCAAGTGGGATAATTTAATGAGACACAAATCCAATTACAGTGATAAGAAAGAAGCAGCAGCCGTGGAATTATAGGAAGAAGTCATCCAACAAATAACATTCATTAGACTTAAAGATATGTTGAAGATTAGCATGTCTTTTTCCAGCGGAAAATAGGAATTTGTCTTGTTGCTGTCTTCAGTATCTAATTCTCAGAGCATTTCACGCTCCACAGCTAATGCCTGGAGATCCTTTTTGCTAAGATATTTCCAGCTTTAAAAAAGATCCCACTCAGGGGTGTCCTCAGAAACGTTCAGGCCTCAGTTGGTGGCTTGAAGGCTCCCGTCTCTCGGGAGGAAGCAGGAATGCTGGGAATGCGAACACGGCTCCATCATTGAAGGGACATGAAGAAGGCTGGAGAGCAGAGGAAGCGAATGCCTTCTCTCCCCCCCCCCCATGAAGACAGACGGGGCTGCTGCAGGAGCGCCCTGAAAGTCTGAAACCGGACATGGGATAAGTTCTGAAGCCCTCTTTCCCCTTGCTCGGAAACTGCTGTCTCTCTGCTATGGCCGCCCCTTCCTGGAATACTATAAAGAAACAACTGCTGCCCCCATGTTCCTTCTTGTCTCTGTGGCCCCTGGGAAGAAGGAGACTCAACTGTCCAAAAACAGTTTGAACATGGATTTTGCTTTCATGAGTAGATGTGGAATGAGAGCAGGCTTCTCTTAAGCTCCTCTCCCGCGTACTGAAAGAACGAGCGCCCTTGAGACCCAAAACTGGGGATGCCCCGTTGCTTGGGCATTTGGCAGGATTTTTTAATAACAACTTTTTCATTCTCAGTAAAGGTTCCCTTATATTTACAGATAAGCAAAATAACCTGTTTATGGCTGGAACAGCACAAGAGAAATATGAGAATGCAGGAGCCCACAATGGGTTTCAAATGAATTTAATTTCCTAAGTCAATCTTATCAAATCTGCCTTCCAGAGGTTTTGGAACTGTCACGCCCAGAATTCCCATGGTTGGCCAACACATCTGGAGCTGCCTAACCATGGAAAGTTGCCAAAAATCAGGAGTGGGCTGCATGCAGTGTGCCAACCCTCTTTTTATGACCTCACCTTCATCCCAGTTCATTTTTGGCATGATAGGTTTTTGTTCAGATGATCTGTTAAATTATTGTTTGACCCCTAAACCCTGCACAATAGGCAGAAAATCATGGAGGTGAGCTAGGCTGTTCATTATAAGTTAAAAAAGAGACATCCACACATGAAAATTCCTGTTTCTTTTGCAGCTGCTTCATTGAGGAAATTCCTGGAGGAAAGTGAAAGTTTAGGCTAAAATGAGTGGCATGCCAGTCTAGTTTATATCAGAGCCAATGTGATTGATTAAACTAGGCTTAGCGTTTCATACTTCTTGAGAGCTTCCGTCCTGCAGTGATAGAGGAAGCATCAGTGTAAATGTAATGACCAGTCAAGGGAAGACGCTTTCATGCTTGGCGGTTCTAGAATCTTCCCTTTGGGCTGAGGTGGGCATGGGAAGCCATGACCCTTGGACCTTCTTTTGACCTTCTGCTGGGCCTGCTCTTCCCCAGGTGGCATCGAGTTGCTTTCAGCGTCCATAAGAAGAACGTCACTCTGATTTTGGACTGTAAAAAAAAGGTCACCAAGTTCCTGGACCGAAGCGACCACCCCATCATTGACGTTAATGGCATCATTGTCTTTGGAACAAGGATCCTGGACGAGGAAGTGTTTGAGGTAAGCGTGCAAGAGAGACAGAACGGCCGGGATGTCCGGAAGGCGTCTCGATGCTGAGCATTGGAGGATTTTGTTTCTTGGGATAGGAAGAACATGTTCAGGATGAGAGAGAGAGAAAAGAAAAAGGGGGGAAGTTTGTCATGTCCTATTTTAGAAAGGATACCTGTATGTCGAAAACCACTACAGAACAATCTCCATTGCAGAGCTTAGAAAACGTAGCCGTGGCTCATAACGGAGCTCTCTTGGGTGACCCCAACACGAGAGAAAGATAGGTAGAAACCCGAAATTAATAAGCCATGGTCAAAGGCTCTTTGGGACTGACTTGGGAGGTTGCCCTTTGCTGCTCCCAAGTCAGCTTTCAGCCATCACCATTGTTATTTCAGCTGCCAAGAAGTGAACTGGCTCCTGTCCAGTTTGGGGTTTCCATTATGCCGTTGACCCCTTGAGTGGCCAGCCTTGTGGGTCTGAAGAGCCCATCAGCTCCAGGCTCTGGGCTCTCTACATTCTCCTGGCCCACCCTCATCCCTCTTCACTGTCCTTTAATTACCTTCTCCATTTCTACCCCAAAGATCTGGCTTTTTAAAATTACCGTGCTAAAGCCACTCTTCCATTTCCGACAGGCTTCCTCCCCCCCACCCCGATCTGGGGCTTCTGAATGCCATTTTGTGGGTGGCATTCTTCACTGGGTTTGCAGTCTAGTGTTGACGTGTGCCGCCCTCTCTGCCATCTCTCTGCCACAAGAGGGGATTTGCCTGATGTCGTTTCCAGGGGATTCTCGTGGATGGAGGAGAAGCTGGGGAGCTGCAGAGTTTGGGCAGAGTTAAAACGGGGACGCTTGATATGCACACCTGCTCGGTGGTTGTCTGAGGCCTAGAGTAAGTTGAGACAAAGAGACTGGCACTTTGCCCAGAGAAGTTTATTGCATTTTTCTTATTTGAAAAAAAAATCAAGAGGACATTTTATCATCAAATTGAATGGGAATTATTGAAAGAGGTTTGTGGAAAAAAGTTCTAGGTGCAACCTGGAGTTAAAATCAAGAGCAGAGATGCTGGACAAGAGTCTGGCCAAGTGTTACTAGTGGGTGAGGAGGCTTTACAGGAACAGGTAGTCCTCAACTTACAACCATTCATTTAGTTCATTTGACGTTGCAAAAGCACTGGAAAAAAACAACGTACAATCGGCGCGCACACTCACACAACCCTCGCCGCTCCCCACGGCCGCAGGACCGAAATCCCGGGGCTTTCAGCAACTGGCCTGGATTCACGACGGTGGCAGCACCCCAGGGTTACGTGACAATGGAAATTCTGATCTTAATTGTGATCGTAAGTCAAGGACTACCTGTAGTTCTCAATGCATGGTCACAGTTTGGGCCAGAATTTCCCCCACTAAGTGATTCGTGCCTGATTGGATGACCTTTTTTGCCGTGGTCGCTAAGCAAATCACTGCGCTCATTAGGTTGCTCATGATGACCCCCTGACCCCGGGATGCTGCAACCGTCGTGGATCCATGTTAGTTTCCAAGCACCCAAATTCTGACCCCATGATCACAGGGACCCTGCGAGGGTCATAAATACAAGTCATTTTTTTCAGCACCCTCTCAGTTCTGAATGATCATTAAATGCTTGGTCTTCAATGGAGGGCTGTCTGTATCGCCTTCTAAGATGAATGAGTGAGATTTTTGTTTGCTTCAATTTGTAATTCAATCTGTTATTCTGTTATTGTTATTATTATTCATTTTAAAACAGAAACTTTGCAAAGAACTTGAGAAAAAGAAACCAAAAGATTCATTGTACTTGGATAAAAACAGAGTGTTCAGCTAAGTCTCAAAAGAGGCAATCCATATTTTCTGCTTAGGTTTTACAATCAGCAGTTTGGCTGAGGCAGAGAATGGAAAGCCTGGTCTTTCAATCACAGAGTTTCCTCACCTTAAAAAAATCCTTTGTGAATATACTTTGACTTACTAAGTCTTAGTTTGACTTACTAATGATCCAACAAAGAGTTTCTCCCTGGCTTCTTCTATTGCAGTCTCCACATCTCCTAGTTTTAGGGGAGGCTCTAGGGGTCTGTGGAGCTGAAAGATCGGGGTTGATTTTGGCCATTAAATAGCACTCTAGCCAAACATTTTATCACCGTCCCAAAACCTTGACTTGTTTCTTCCAAACTGAGTGTGGTAAAGTCTCAGCCAGGCGCCTTTTTAACGCAGGCCTCAGCTTCAGACATTACTTGAAGCCAGAAAACGTTAGGTGGTGATGTGAAATCCCTTTTCTCCCAGGAGGGAGATGCTGAATGAGCAAGAAAGAATGAAGTACAGTTTTCCATATGCCTGTGGAAAGCAACTAGATCCTAACTAAAATGGCTTTAGGAACGGCTCTTTTGCTAGTTTAAGTCTGTGGACATCACTGTAATCAGATAGACTACTGCTGCTCAGAAAGCTCTGTGAGGCTTCTGGCATTGGCTAGACCAGTGGTGGCGAGCCTATGGCATGCGTGCCAGAGGCGGCACTCAGACCCCTCTCTGTGGGCACGCACGCCGTTGCCCCAGCCCTGCCTCCCCCCACGGCCCCCTCCTCACCAGCAGCCCCTCCCAGAGAGTTGCCCCTGGGCGCGGCCTGCGCAGAGCAGCGCAGCCAAGGACATGGCAGCCAGTAGCGGGGACAAGACTGCCCTCGCACTCCATCATGCACAGATGATGCTACAGGGCGCGGGTGAGGGGGTGGCCACCATGGTGCTGCTGGGCCGCCTGGGCGATCTGTTGTGGCAGGCCATGGAGGCGGTGGGTGGCCCTGTGGGCAGGCGGGGTACAGGGTGGTGCGCAGGGCAGGGTGGTTTGGGGGCACTCGGTCTCTAAAAGGTTTGCCATCACTGGGCTAGGCTGAAAATCTGCGTTTACTCTCCTCCCCTTCTAACAGTATCTCAGAAGCTGGATGCGCTTAATCCAGTCAATTTGCATAATTAACATTCTGCTCAGAAGTGACAAGCGCAAATTCTTCCCGAATGCTCCTAATAGTATGAAGGAATCACATTAACTGGCCCCAACACTCTTGAAAAGGAGCCCCGGGAGACACCTCACCCCGTGCTTAGTGCAGGAATCCCAATGAAAGGATCCCTACTTGGCCAATGTGAGCCTCTCTTCCCTCCCCCTCTAGCTGCAGACCGCACACTCTGATGGCATTCTAGATGTCGGCAATAATTAAGGAGTGATGCCGAGACACATTTTTGTATTATTCGCTCTGATCTGATATTATTTTTGTTTAAATTCTGGTTTTGCTGCCCTTATTGTTCCCAAACTCTAGGAGTTCTTGTAGAACACAGTCCTATATACATTTAACCCATTAGGTAGCCCAGAAATCCTTTATTGCTTCCATCCTTGATCACATTTTCTTTGCCTGCTATGGGTAATCCCTCTTAAGAGCAGTTCCGTCTGTTTGTTTCCGTGTTGACCTGTACTTGAAAAAGATACGTAAGAAATCCGCGTCTCTGGGCCATCGCAAGGCTCTGAGGGCTCGGCTGTTCCTGTGGTGCTGGGCCAGGATGTGGACTGAGTGTGACTCCAGGAGTGTAGTAGTATCTTGATTAGAGTCCTTGGTTGTCAGTTCATTTTGTTTATTTTGATGCTGCATCTGCTTTAGCTACGGGTTTCAGTTCATTTCTATGCTACCCCAGGTAGTTCTGAGTTGGGCAGTAGGTCAAATCAAGTGGATGAGTGCATGAATGAAAACATTTTTAATAAAGATCCTAGAGAAAGAAGAAGTTGTTGACCAGAAAATCAGATCACTTCCTGAGGTGTGGACTTCTAAATCCAGTTTAATCCTGAGTTTTGGAGGTGAGAGTAGGGCAGTGACCTTTTAGAGACCCGAATGCCCCAAAACTGGCCCTGCCCCCACTCCACCTGCCCACAGGACCACTCACCGCCTCCAGGGCCCGCCACAGATCGCCCAGGCAGCCCACCAGTGCTATGGCGGCCACACTCTCTGCCCGCACCCTGCAGCATCAACTGCATGATGGGATGTGAGGACAGACTCTTGTCTACGCTGCCTGGCTGCCATGTCCTTAGCTGCGCTCTCCATGTGGGCCAAGCTTGGGGGTTACTCTCCTTCAGGGGGGCTGCTGCAGAGGAGGGGGTCATGGGGGAAGGCAAGTCTGGGGCAACGGCACGTGTGCCCACAGAGAGGGCTCCGAGTGCCGCCTCTGGCACCTGTGCCATAGGTTCACCACCACTGGAGTCGGGCATCCAGCGAGTTGACCACCCAGAGGAAGGGTGAGGCCTATCTCAGCATTTGAAGGAACTGGGGAGATCAACTGTTGGGTCTCACAGGGACTGAATTCCTTGAGCATCTCTTCTTCCCCAAGGGACAGACCACCAGGGAAGAGACAGAGGTCTTCCTTTTTGCTTGCTTAGGAAGATCCAGCCCAGAAGTCCCACTGTGCTGAGTTCCCTGGCATGGGGCAATGTAGGGAGAGCCACCCACTGAACCGCCCACGGCAGATGCCAGAATGTGTCCCCACTGGTTTTAATTTCTGGCGGTGATGAGGATGGTAGAAGCTGGCCCACTGCAGAGCCCAGAGCCAGCCTCTCTATCATACTCCTACTCCTTCTCGTAGTTAGTCTAGACAAACCTAATTCTCTCAATAGTTTATTGTATGTTTTAGCCTCCAGCCCAAAAAAATCATCTTTCTTGCTCTCCTCTGTACTCTTTCTAGGGCCTCGGCATCTTTTTGCATTGTGGTGACCAGAATTAGACACAGTATTATTCCAAGTGTGGTCTCACCAGTGCAGAATAAAGTGATGCTATCCACTTCACATGAGAATAGAATAGAGCTGGAAGGGACCTTGGAGGTCTTCTAGTCCAGCCCCCTGCTCAAGCAGGACAACCTACACCATCTCAGACAAGTGGCTGTCTAGTCTTTCTTAAAAATCTCCAGTGATGGAGCACCCACGATTTCTGGAGGCAAGCTGTCCCACTGGATAATTGTCCTCACTGTTAGGAAGTTTCTCCTTAATTCCAGGTTGCTTCTCTCTTTGGTCAGTTTCTAACCATTGTTTCTTGTCTTGCCCTCT